ATGATGGAACTATTTAATGGCATGATATATTAATTATAGCTCAATAAAACAAGCAAACAAAACAGTGGTTTCTAAGGGAATCTGATGAGCCAGTTAAATTCAGAGCAGAGAGGTCAGCTTAGAAGGCAATGCTTTTTAGGATTCTAACAGGGTTATCTTGGTAAAATTTCACCAAGAGCAAGATGATCCTGGGGGTTTATTGTGACGATATTTTAAGAAATTTGAAAACTGCATTCGTTTAAAAAAATGGGTCAAGAAAGTTTTGCCAAAGAATCATTTTCCATCGTGGAGATGCTCCCACCCATTCTTTTAGAGCAGGGGGTCCTCAAACTTTTAAACAGGGGGCCAGTTCACTGTCCCTCAGACCCATTGGAGGGCCAGACTATAGTTTTAAAAAAATATCTATGAACAAATTCCTATGCACACTGCACATATCTTATTTTGAAGTAACAAAACAAATGGGGCAAAAACACCCGGCGGGCCAGATAAATGTCCTCGGCGGGCCGCATGTGGCCCGCGGATGAGTTTGAGGATGCCTGTTTTAAAGTAACAAGGGCCGTCCTATGAGATTTTCACTAGGAAACCTTACACAAATACTCTACACTTTTTGTCTTGCCTCTTCAGACTTTTGTTCCTCAAACTCAAAGAACACTTAAGATAAACACAATTTGAGTACTTCAAGGGGGCCAAAATAGCAGTTTGGGCATAGTGTGAATTGAAGAGCACAGCAAGCTTTGGGGAGGGTTTAGAGAAGTGGAAAGATTTAGATGGAGGATATGTTGAGAATCAATACATCCACATTTTGAAATTTTTGCTTAATGTAGGCTTCCATGATTATGTAGAATTATTTACTAATCCTCATAAACACCACTGGAATTAAAGCAAGACTCATCTGTCCCACTAACTACTTGATATATTCATTGGATGAATGATGCACATTGACAAATAAAAATACCCACGATGGAGCACTCCTTGGTTACACAGTCATCTTCCGCTCAAAAAGTTATGGTCTTCCTTCGGCTTTTTCTGTTTTATCTCACTCACTCCTTATTGCCCATTCAGCCTTATTGCGTGCACTTTCAAGTGTCTCAGTAGCTCTCTGTCCCCACTGTGATACTTTGCATGAGTCTCTACAATAAATTCCTACATGATCCCCATGCACCCTTCCATTTACCCCGCCTCCAGCACATTGTCATACAGCTCACAGAAAGATCTTGAAAATATATAGTTCATCAGTCATTCCTCCTTCCAGAACCCTTGTTTCCCTTTTATGCCAAGAATATGATGCAACTTTTGCCCCATCAGGGAAAAGTTTGTGAAGGTATTTTAAGAAATTTGAAAACTGCATTCGTTTTTTAAAAATGTACACCTCGTGCACACCGGCAAAACCCTAGCGACATAATCTCCCTGGACTCACACTTTTTGCACTTAACAGCTCCTATGTCTTCCCCTGGTTTTTACACAGCAGCCCCCTTTGCCTCCTCCACCTTTGTCTTAAGCATAACTACAAACTTCAAAGAGGCCTTTCTTGACCATTCTATCTAATGCGGCAACTCCTCACTCAAACCCTGTGGAGTAAATTTCTATTACAAAACTGTACTGTTTCCTTTACAGGACTTTCTCCAAGCTGTAAAAAATGTTCTTGTTTGCTTATTGGTTTATTTTTCAATCCTCTTATGGAAAGTTAACTTCATCTTTGTAAAGTTCTTTGATGCCTATTCCCATTGTATCTCAACACTAGGGGGGAAGATGTGGCAGTCTGCTTCTGTAAAGTTCCCCTTATTGCTGAGTATGAGGGGAAGGGAGAATCCATCACCAGGATCAACATATAACCCCCTCCCAGGGGGACGAACAACAGAAAACTGAGTGGAGGGCGACACAGAATGATGTAAGATATGAAAATAATAATCTATAACTTATCAAGGGCTCATGAGGGAGGGCAGGTAGGAGAGGGAGGGAGGAAGAGCTGATATCAAGGGCCCAAGTAGAAAGAAAATGCTTTGAAAATGATGATGGTAGCATGTGTACAAATGTGCTTAACACGATGGATGATTGTGTGGATTGTGATAAGAGATGTAAGAGCCCCTAATAAAAGTATTTAATTTAAAAAAGTATTTTTTAATAAAAATTTTAATAAAAATTTTTTAATAAAGGTATTTAATTTTAAAAAAAAGAGGCAGTTCACCTCAGTTCCCAAAGAGAAAGTTCTCAATGAAACTGACCTAAGAACCAGGGGAAAAAAGAGCCAAAGGCAGCAGCTTTTCTATATTTGATAGAGAGGGTGAAAAAATGAGCTTGCTCTTAATCAACATTGGAAATGTAACGGTTTGTTGAGATTCAATTGGTTAAAAGGGACACAGCATGTAACAGTCATCACCCCGACAGTAAACATTCTTTTTTAAACCTGTTGATTATACAAGGAGGCAGGACTTTCTACTCCTGCAAAAAGTTAGTCTTGGAAACTTAACAGGGGTAGTTCTACCTTCTCCCTTGATGTAGCACTGAGTCACCATTACTCAATGGCAAAGAGGTGTTTGTTTTTGTAGGAAAGTGGAAGCCTTTAGATAGGAAATGGAGCCTGAAACTTTATGGGGTACTAGTCTGACAGCCCCTGGAGTAAGGAAGTTATCCATTCATGGTCTGATAATCCATTGGGGGAAATGTAAACAGTTTCCTGTGAAACTTGCTCTCTTTTGTCCTCTGATCATTGTAAAAACCTTTTGATCACCCAGAGGGATTATGCAAAGTTTGTTTCTTGTCACATTGTTTAAGGTATATAACTTGTTAAATTGTGACTGAACTCTGAAATAGCTCAGAAGCAGAACCCTGGCTGATCCCCTCTGCAGTAATTGTAAGAATAAACTTAGAATTTTTCCAATCAACCTGGTCTCTGTTTTTGGCTACAGTGAGACGCTGTCCCCAAACCCTTTGCAGCTGACAAGATATTCACCTGGTGCAATAGAGGAAGAAGAGTCAGAAATAGGAAGAGGAAACAGATGGGTGACTAATTGCCCCCATGAAAAACTGTCTCCTTTGCATGAAGACCAGAGAACTGAAGCCAGCCCAACTACCATTACTGAACATTTTGATCAAAGATTCCCTGGAAGAATCCTAATCAAAAGGGGAGCAATGCAGGATCTGATTTTAAATTCCCTATTGACAACAGACTTTCTGAAGCCATGGAGACTGGATGAAGCCCTGAAACATTTCCCTGGGATAATCTTTAAACCGTAAACTGAAAATTTCCCCTGACATCCTCTCAAAACCAAATAATACTTTAACTAGTAAAGAATGTCTGCCTTGAGTATTGTGCTCTTTGAGGAATCACCTACATGAGATCGAATGGGCACAGCAACTCAAAAGTAGACAGGAATCTTAGGGGACATTGAGTTTATGTTCTTGAGGAAAGAAAAACAAAAAATGGTAGATGAGAATGCTTACACAGCTCCAGCATGTGATCAGTGTCACTAAATTATACAACTAGTTGCAGAAACTATTGAACAAGTCATATCTTGTGCTGTTTATGTACTCGATTAAATTAATTCTTATGTAATAGTTTCATTGGCATAACAAAAAATAATTTTTTAATTAGTTTTTAATATTTAATTAATTTTGTTAAGCAATACATACTCCCTGTTACAAAGACTTGGCTCCCCCATTGCAACTCCAGCTTTTGTTGAATTGAACAATTGAGATCATACCAGCAAGCTTCCGATAGATTAAGAAATCAGAAAGCAATGAGCAGTCATGTAATACATGCAAACACATAAAACAAGGAGACAGTCATTTTACACATGAAACATAAAGCTCAGACATTCAATGACTAAAGGAGCCCCAATGCCACAGTGGCTAAAGCAACTGTGCTGCTAATTAGGCCAACGGTTCAAACCCACCACCCAAACAAGATGTGGCAGTCTCCTTCTGCAAAAATGTAGAGCCTTAGAAATCCAATGAGGCAGTTCATCTCTGTTCAGTAAGTCACTATGGGTCAGAATCAACAGAAACCAAACCAAATCACTGGCATCGAGTCTATGCTGAATCATAGCAATCCTATAGGGCCGGGTAAAATTGCCCCTGTGGGTTCCCGAGACTGTAATTCTTTATGGGAGTAGAAAGCCCATCTTTCTCCTGCAGAATGGCTGGTGGTTTCTAACTGCAGTCCTCACTTGCACTTAGCAGCCCAACATCACCCTCAGATAACAGCACCTGGCAGATTCGGGTTCTAGTTTAGGTCTGGCTGTCTTCACATGGTAGGAGCCCTGGTAGGGGAGTGGGTTACACACTGGACTGCTAACCACAAGGTCAGTAGTTTGAACCTACCACCTGCTGTATAGGAGAAAGAGGAAGCTTACTCCTGTAGAGATTTGCAGCCATGGAAACCCAAAAACCTGTAGAGTTGTTTTGTTTGGGAATTGACTAAATGGCAGTGAGCTTGTTTTTGTCTTCACGTGAAGCCCACTTGGTGTCCATAGTCTCCTATGCCTTTTGACTTATTCCTATGATTGAAAAGTTTGATTTGTTAGCACATAGGTGTACATTGAGTTACCATATATACGCGAGTATAAGCCAACCCGAATATCAGCCACAGCACCTAATTTTGAAAACAGTTTCTTGATTTGTTAGCACATAGGTGTACATTGAGTTACTGTATATACTCGAGTATAAGCCAACCCGAATATCAGCCAAGGCACCTAATTTTACCACAAAAACTGCATTAAAAATGTGCTGAAAGAAGTACATAGTAAGTGGAGAGGAAATGTTTTGAGAATGATGAGGGCAATGAATGTACAAATGTGCTTTACACAATTGATGTATGTATGGATTGTGATAAGAGTTGTATGAGCCCTTAATAAAACAATTTTTTAAAAAGTACATAGTAAAAGGTACAGACTTCCAATTATTATTTAATAAGGCAGACATAGAAAGCTTCCTCTTTAATGATGACGTTAAAACTTCTGATGATGATTAAGTCTAAGAACTCCCACAATTAAGATTCTTACCTCGGAATTCTAATCCTCGAAGTTGGAAGGTGACAAGACCATTTCCAATTTCAATCAAATGAACAAATGCATTGAGGTAATCTGAAGCCAAAATAAAGCAATCTCCAGAACTGTAGTTACCCCAGCGACCAAGAAGCAAATCTCCACAGAGGGACTCCTGCAGGGATCTTGTTAGGTGCTCATAAAAGATGGAGTTGAGGTTATTGTCATCACTCCCTAAAGGCAGGAACAAATAGATGGTCAATGAACATTATGTCCAATGTATTCAGACATAGAAATTAGCAAGTTGTCATGTGAATAGGGGTAAAATCAGACTCACATAAAAAAGAAACCCTGTTCTCTTATTTTGATTGATTATATGAAAACCTCTTATTTTCTCCTGTTTTATATCTTCTTGGAGCCCTGGTGGTAAAGCGGTTACACATTGGGCTGCTACCCACAAGGTCAACAATTCGAAACCACCAGCTGCCTTCTCTGGAGAAGGAAGAAGCTGTCTACTCCCATAAAGATTTACTATCTTGGAAACCTACAGGGGCAGTTGTACTTTGTTTTCTAGGATCACTATGATTTGGAAATTATTCCATAGCAGCGTGTTTGGCTTGGGGTTTTTGAATACCCTCTTGCAAAAACCCTGGTGGCACAGTAGTTAAAGTGATCATCTGACAACCAAAAGTTCAGTGGTATAAATTCATCATCTGCTCTGAAGGCAAAACACTACAGTTTGCTTCTCTAAAGATGGAAACCATATGATACTGTTCTATGCTGAGTTAGAATTAAAATCATTATGAGTTAGAATCAACTCAATAGTAGTGTTTGTGGTTTTGGATACCTCTTAGGGAAGCCTGGTAGCATAAGAGTTAAGCACCCAGCTGATAACCCACATACTGGTGGTTTAAATCCACCAGACAACTCTCTGGGGGAAGACCCAGTGACCCTCTTCCATAAAGATTACAGCCAAGCTAGCTGAGGGGAGCAGTCCTCCTTTATCACACATGGTTGCTATGAATTGGCTCATTAGCACCTTATTATGAGCATATACTCCTTAGATTTATACTTTTATTTACTTTTAACTACTGTCTAAAAGCAGATGACTTACAAATATATCTCTCCAGCTGAGATCACTTGGCTGAATTCTAGGCTTGTATATCTACTTTTAAAACTTAATATCTTCTCTCAGATGTCTCAAATATACATCTTCAACATGACAAGAGGGGTTCCCTCCCTATGTCCCCTCCTCAGTGAACAGCAGTACTATTCAATCAGTAGTCTTCTCTACAACTCTTTCACGTGCAAGTCTCTCTGGTTTGCCTTTTTCAACTATTACTTGAATCGTTCTAGCTTCCTTGATCTCCATTCCTACCCTAGCCCAAGGTACATAATCTGTCATATGAACAACCACAACAGTCATGTGACTCCACTATGTATATTCACTGAGAACTGTGATCCTGTCTGTCCTCAACTCACAGCCAGAATGACTTTCCTTGTTTGTTTGTTTTTAATTTTACTGGGGGCTCAAACAACTCTTATCACAATCCATACATACATAAATTGTGTAAAGCACATTTGTACATTCACAATGACTTGTCAATGAAAAGGCCTGCATGTGTTGCCCAGGACACTCAAAATTCATTGCTTGAAATCCCTCAGCTTTTCAATGCTCTTGAGATAGAGACAAAATACAATCTAAAATTCCCCATTCATCTGTCAGTTTGTCTTATTGAGGTGGTGTTTATGTCTCTGTGATGCTGGAAGCTATGCTACTAGTCATTCAAATACCATTAGGGTCACACATGGTAAACAGGGTTTACCACTCACTGGTTGATGCCAAGACATTTGGAAGTCAGCTACCTGGTCAGTTGACAAGAGGTGTTTCATATTTGGGCCCATTCCTAAGAAAGGCAACTCAGTTGAACCCAGAAATTATTGAACAATATCATTAACATTACATGCAAGTAAAATTTTGTTAAAGATAATTCAAATATGGTTGCCGCAATAAACTAAAAGAAATCTTCAAGAAATTCAAGTTGGCTTCAGAAGAGGACATGGCACAAGGGATATGAATGCTGACATCAGCCGGATCTTGACTGACAACAAAGACTACCAGAAAGATGTGTCCTTGTCTTTCATCGACTACGGAAAGGCATTTGACTCTGTGGATCATAACAAACTACAGATAATGTTGCAAAGAATGGGAATTCCAGAATATTTCACAGTATTCATGAGGCAAAAGTACATAGACCTAGAGGCGGCCCTTCAAACAGCCCAAGAGCATATTGCATGGCTTGAAATCAGGGTTGTATTTTTTACCCATACTTAGTCAGTCTGCGTGCTGACCACGTCCTCTGCGAAGGTGGACTGTCCGAAGAGGGATGAAGCAGGAGGACTGAGGATGGCTCGTGAGCAATGAAGACGATAGTCCTGCTTGCTGAAAGGGAAGAGGACTTGAAGCACTTACTGACAAAGATCAAACAAACAAACAAAACTGCAGACTTCAGGACAGATTGCAACTCAAAGTAAAGACATCAAACATCCTCGCGACTGGACCAATTGATTACATCATGATAAATGGAGGAAAGATGAAGTTGTCAAGGTTTTTATTTGACTAGAATCCACAAGCAATGCTCATGGAAGTAGTAGTCAAGGAATAAAATGATGTGTTGTATTAGAAAAATCTGTTCCACGTGATCTATTTAAAGTGTTAAAGAGAAAAGATATTACTTAGAGGACGAGATGACCTAACTTTAAATCATTTTATTTTAAAATACTTCATGTGAACGTGAAAGCTGGACAGTGAGGAATGGTGCATTTGAATCATGGTTGGTGAAGGACATTGAACATGTCACGGGCTGCCAGAAGAACAAGAAAATCGGTCCTGGAGGAAGTATGTACAGCCAGAATACTTAGAACCGAGGATGGTTACAACTTACAACACATCATTTTATTTCTTGACTACTACTGCCATGAGACTTTGTCTCATGTAATTGGACATGTTGACCTAAATGATCAAAACCCTATTGGTCAAACATTTATACTTGTTGAGTAATAGATGCACTGGGTCAACCCATCTGGTCACGGGCTTTCTTCTTTTTTGCTGCCCCTCTACTTTGCCACGCAAGATGTCCTTCTCCAGGGATCGGTCTCTCCTGACAACATGTCCAGTCTCTGAGGAGCATTCTGCCTATACTTCTTCTAACATAGATTTCTGTGTTCTCCATGGCGCTTTCAATATTCTTCACTAGAACCATAAGTCAAATGCATCGGTTCTATGGTCTTCTTTATTCATTGGCCACTTTTCACATGCATATGAGGTGATGGAAAGTACCATGGCTTATGTCAGGCCCACCCTAGTCCTCAAAATGATATCTTTACTCTTTGTAACTTGTGAAAGATTTCGTGTAGCAGATTTGCCCAATGCAATACATTCTTTGATTTCTTTACTGCTCTTTCCATGAGAATTGATTGTGGAGCCAAGCAAAATGAAATCCGTGTCAACTTCAACCCTTTCCCAATTTATTGCAGTGCTGTCTATTGGTCCAGTTTTGAGGATTTGTGTTTTCTTTGGATTATCTGGTAATCCATACCTGCAGTCCTTGCTTTTCATAAGCCAGTACTTCAAGTTCATCAGTAAGGGTTTGGGTATGGAAATGTGCATTTTCTTTATCTCAACTCCCAATCAAGCACTTCAAGATTAGAGATAAGTGTTTGAAGAGAAGGCTAGATAAACCTGGAAGTCCTCAAGGTCAATGGTCCTTGTGGATGAGGGTGGGAGGGAGGGGTGGAAAGGCTTAGGGGAAAGTTTGCATTCAAGCCCTTTACTGTAGGAATATGTTTTACTTTGCAGGTAAATTCTAACTCTCAAAAACCAGAAAGGCGACGTGCTGCAAAATGATCATGCCTAAAGCAAAACCGAAGGCTTGAGACCTAGATTCAGGAAACCAGAGAGAAAGGCTGCAAATTTGCTGAGGGTGCCATAGCTTTGTATCCTTGAGACATGGTTACAATCGGTGACTACAGAGAGGTAAAGATGAGTCCTGCGAGCCCTACATAAGGAAGATGCAGCTCAAAGAAATGTATAAAATAACACTGTTACAAAATAGCTCAGCTTATGGCTCTCGGCTGGGCATGCACTACAGTTAAAAGTTGATTTGTAATTAGTTTACTTATATCTTCATTATGACGAATGGGAAGAATAAACTGTTCCATGACTGAGTCATGTCATACCATGCTGTCTAATAAAGTAATGGAACGCTTAATCTTCTATCTATTTTAAGACTGAATTATCTGACCATTTGCATTCATTTTCTCTGATGAATTTGCATGCATCTGAGTTAGTAATTAGATTTTACTTTGAATATTTGGTACTTTTAGAGAAAAGGCCTGAGTGAGGGAATTAACCTTTTGTAATTGTTCAAATGGCTGACTGTCTAAAGTAAAAAGAATGATTAAAACCACTAACAATAGAGATTTGACATGTGGCCTCTTCTTAGAACTCATTGACCACACAACTGCATTATTAGAATAAAATGAAAGAACAATACGGTAAAATAAAGGCAAGATGTGCTTATAAAAAGTGGAGGCCCAGAGCCAATCTGTAGGTAATTGGACATCCCCTTACAGAAGGGTCATGGGGAGAAGACAGGCCAGTCTGGGTGCAGTATAGCACCGATGAAACATACAGCTTTCCTCTGGTTCTTTAACGCTTCCTCTCCCCTCACTATCATGACCCTAATTCTACCTTACAAATCTGGCTAGACCAGAGCACGTACATGGGTACAGATAAGAGCCGAAAACACAGGGAATATAGGACAGATAAACTCCTTGGGACCAATATTGAGAGTAGCTATACCAGGAGGGGAAGGGGAAGTAGGGTGGGGGTAGGAGAGAAAGGGGGAACTGATCACAATGACCTATGTATACCCCCTCCCATGGGGACAGACAACAGACAGAGAGTAAAGGGAGACATCAGGCAGTGAAAGACATGAAAAAAATAATAATAATTTATAAATTATCAAGGGTTCGTGAAGGAGGGAGGGGCAAAAAATGAGCTGATACCAAGGGCTCCAGCAGAAAGAAAATGCTTTGAAAACAGTGATGGTAACATATGCACAAATGTGCTTGAAACAATAGATGGATGTATGGATTGTGATAAGAGTTGTACGAGCCCCCAATAAAATGATTTAAAAAAAACAAAACTCTGCATCTGTTATGTTTTCCATAGTTATACTGACATAAAATTCAATAAAAATTATATCTGGCTCTCAAAGTATTTTCAATTTTTATTTCAAGGTAATTTTATTTATGTGACTCAAATATGAACAGTGTACATAGTGCAATTCTTCCTAGACAACATTTGTGGCCCAAGGAAGAGAGTGAGGTAGATAAAAATAGAGAACCGTTAAAAGTTCACTTTCTAAAATGTAGAAATGAGAAGTGGTTTACAATGAGGTTATACAGCGAACCCTCGCTACTTCGCGCTTCGACTTCCGTGGCTTCACTCTATCGCGGTTTTTGCGGAACGGCGCATGCTCTGTCATTACTGCCACTGATTGGCTCATACTGTACACGCTTGATGCCATAAATAATATAATAAATAATGATCATTGTAACGTCCAAAATGTTTTACTGTATTTTCCCTTTTTCGTTTAATAAATTGGGTAATACGAGTGTAATGGTGACTAAAGGGTGTTTTTTCTTGTCCTCTGTGCTCTAACTACGAAAATATTTGATTTACAAATAAGGGATCCTACTTCGCGGAATTTCATTTATCACGGTAGGGTCTAGAACCGATTAACCGCGATAAACGAGGGTTCACTGTAGAAGGAGAAAAGTAGACTGATTTATAATAATTCATTGTATTTGCTAACTTGGCGATGCCCCATTGTTTGGTCAAGCACAAGTGTAGATGTTACCATGAAGGCATTTGGAAGATTAGTAGATGCAATGGACATTTCAGTCCCTGACTCCAAGGTTGCTTTGTCGTTGGGGGCCATTGAGTTGGTTCTGACCCAGAGTGCCCTGATGCACAACAGAACGAAACACCCTCCAGCCCGGGTCACCCTCCCAGTGAGCTCAGGCTTTAGCCCTGGTGTTAATCCAAGTCTTTGTTGTCAATCCATCTTTTTTTTTTTTGTGTGATGCCCCTTTACATTATCAAACATGATGTCATTTTTTAGGGGCTAGTCTGTCCTGACAATATGTCCAAATTATGTAAGATGAAGTCTTGCCATCCTTGCATCTGAGGAACACTTTGGCCTTACTTCTTCTGACATCGATTGGTTTGTCCTTTCAGCAGTACATGTACTTTCAATATTCTTCTCCCATCCTGATGCCACATTCTTCTTCATATAAGCCAGCTTCTCTGGTGATTGGCTCAGCATACAGACTGAATAAGTATGGTGAGAGGATACAGTCCTGCCACACATCTTTCCTGATTTTAAAACATGCAGTATTCTGTTCTGTTTGCACAACTGCCTCTTGATTCATATACAAGTTCCACAGGAATACAATGAAGTGTTATATAGTGTCCATTCTTCTCAAGAATATCCATAGTTTGTTATGATCCACAAAGTCGAATGTCTTCACACAGTCAATAAAACAGAAGTAAACATCTTTCTGGTATTCTCGGCTTTGAGCCAAGGTCCATCTGACATCAACAATGGTGTCCCTTGTCCACATTCTCTTCTAAATCCAGCATGAACCTCTGGCAGTTCCCTGTCAATGTACTGCTGCAAATGTTGCTAGATGATCTTCAGCAAAATTTTACTTGCACGTGCTATCAAGGATCTTGTTTTATAGATTGGGCATTCTGTTGGGTCACCCTTCTTTGGAATGGGCACAGATACAGATTTCTTCCAGTCAGTTGGTCAAGTAGATGTCTTCCAAATTTCCTTGCATAGATGAGTGTTTTCAGTGTTTCATCAACATTTTGAAGCATTTCAGTGATAGTCTATTAATTCCTGGAACCTTGTTTTTGGTAAATGTTTTTCGTTCTGCTTGAACGTCTTCCTTCAGAACCATTGGTTCTTGCGCATATGCCACCTCTTGAAATAGTGGAATGTCAACTAATTCTTTTTGGTACAGTGTCTCTGTGTCTTCTTTGTATCTTCTTTTGATGGTTTCTGTATCACTCAATATTTAGCCTATAGAATCTTTCAAGATTGCAATTTGAGGCTTGAATTTTTTCTTGAATTCTTTCAGTGTAAGATATGCTAGTGTGCTTTTCCCTTTTGTTTTCTTAATTCTAGGTCTTTGCATATTTTATTAAAATGCTTGGCTTTGTCTTCTCCAGCTTCCCTTTGAAATTTTGTATTCAGCTCTTTGACTCCAACCTTGCTTCCATTTGCTTTAGCTCCTCTACAATTAAGAGCAAGTTAGAGTCTCTTCTGACATCCTCCTCATTTTTTTCTTAATTTCCTATCTTTTTAATGACCTTTTGCTTTCTTCATGAATAATGTTCTTGGCTCTAAGGAGATTACCCCTATTAATATGTGTGGGCCTCATCAAAACAATTGAAGGCCTTAAGAGCAACAAGTAAGGTTTACAAAGGGAGAAGGATTCTTCCAACACTACAATGGAGATCTCCTCCAAGTTTCCAGCCCACTGCCTCGCCTACAGAGTTTGGACATGCTGGCCCCCACAGTCATGTGAGCCAATTCCTTAAAGTGTATCTATTTCTTCTTTCCTTCCTTCTTCTATCCCTTCCTCCCTCCCTTTTCTCCTTCTCCCATTTTTCTGTTCTATTCACTTACACGTTTTTTTCAATTCCTCCATTTTTTCTGAAGAACACGGACTAACATAATTTTCTCACAGATAAATCCTTTCTAAGTATAGTCTTGAGTCCCTTTTTAAAAACTTTATCATAAGGAAGTTTCCAAAAGTTTGTAGAGAAATTGAATTGAGGGCTAATGGAATTTTTCCATGAAATACTTGAAGCCCACACATAGTCTGGATCCTAGAATGACTTTCCAAGGGATTCTTTGCTAAAAGACTAATCCCAAGAGGAGCAGTCTGCATTTGATGTTTACAGTACTCAAAATAAAATGCCTCCATCCGCTACCAACCAGGTAGACTGGAGTTCAAGGCACTCCCATGTGTGTCACAGTAGAATGATGCTCCATGTGGTTGCAATCACTGTTCTCTCAGAAGTAGATCACCAGGCCTTTCTTCTGAGAAGCTCTTCTGAGATGGGCAAAAATTGCGCACAATAATTGTCTGTGCCACTCGAAGACTCCTCATTTTAAAGTACCTACATAATTCTAAATAATAGAGGGATCTATTTCCAAACCAAATCAAGATATTTGACCAGCCTGTTGTTCTTATGAGCCCTCCAGTCAGTCCTGAACTCGTAACAGCTCTAGGCACAACAAAGAAACACTGTCAGCCTATTTCCGAATTTCTACCTTACAGTGGACATAGCTACCAAGAAATGCACTGTTTTCACTATGATTAAAACTAATGAGCACACGGACTGTCCATTGGGACTGCAGAAGTCCATATATATAACAAAATAAATAAATATGCTAGAAGGAGGGGAAAATAGTATCTTCATACCTGGATCCTTTTCAATTTGGACAGCCAGTCTTGTATTGGAATTATCCACTCGCTTGGTACTAGAAAGGGCAAAGCAAAAGGTGGGGAGGTAAAAGACATAATTAGATCCTTATGAATCAAAAGGGTGGCTTGAAGAAATGAGCTATATGACTAGAGAATTCAGAGGAAAGAGTTCACAGAATTAAGATGATTAATATGATTACTTCAATTAGATGTGAAGGATCTAATGACAAGGAAGAGAAGGAAAAGAAGAATATGAAAGGAAAAAATGAGCGCTTCTCTAAGTTTTGGGGGGTGATCTTATGTCTTACAAATTTTGAGCACTGGGTCCACACAATAAAAGCAAGCACTAGAACTGACAATGGAAGGTCACCCACCTTGAGAATCGAGAACAATCGTTTTATTCTTTTCATATCGATTCCAGAAAATCATGGTGAGTAATCAATGTCTCTGCAATGTGCTTTCATAAGTTGACTGCATTCTTTTAGACCTCTCCTTGGGGTGAGCCATGAGCAAAACACAACCCTCACAAACTTAGGAAAAGACGTATCATCTGTAGCCATTATAGGAGGAGGTGGCCACAAAAACTGGTTTTCAGCCTATACAGTCACGACAACTTACCTTAGTTAATAGCTTTGCAAACTAGCCTGGGTTTCTGAAAGGCGCTCCATTGGGTGCAGAGTGACTCTATTTCTGACTGACCATCGGGCAACATCAATCTCACCCTAGTAGCTTCTTGCAAGCCAGGCCAACTCACTTTTATTTTGAAAGCTTCACCTATGCTGGAAGGGCTACACAGCTAGAAAACCTTTCAAAGGGCATTGATCTGCTCTGCTGTGAGAGACAATTGCTGGCCAGCTTTATCTTTTTACTTCAGAAAGGAGGTCTCGTCATCCTTGGCAATCGGAATTGAGGACGCAGAACTATTTAGAACCTGCACAAATGGCAATTTCACATGATTAAGCATAAAATATATGCCAGTTAGAAAGGGCGTTCTTAGATAAGAACTATATCCGCACTGACCATAGGGCTGGCGCAAAGTTTGAACATAATGAGGCCTTCACTAAAATGTGTTTTTCGCGGCCTGGACCCTGCCTTGGATGAGACCCCTTCCTGTTCACTGCGGGCAAACACAAAGCACACAGCAACATGCTCCAACCAGCTGGTGGCCAGTTCTCTTTTTATGTCTTCTGCATGTCCCAGGCTCCGTTTCCTGTCACCCCATCAAGCTTTGCAAGCATCGCTTCCTCTGCCAGAGGGCTCTCTTTCCATTCCTGCCTGTTTTCCTAGTTGACTCCTCTCATCTTTCCAATCTCAGCTCAAGTATCCCTTTCTCTGGGAGTTTTCCTAACTCCTGCTCTGGGTGAGACTCCATTGCCTTAGGCTCTTTCATAGATCAGGCCCCTTCTTTGGAATGTTCCTTATGGAAAGATTAATAATAAGGGTGAGAACTGATGTTTATGGAGCAATTGCTTGTTTTACGTCCTATTTTAAATAATGTACATTATTAACTCAGTATATCCACATGATCGATCTAAGAAAAAAGTCCTATTATTATATCCATTTTTTTTCCTCAGAGGGGCAGTAATATTAACTAAACTGCTTGAGTTAATAGGGAGTAGTGTCAGGTGTTAACACTTGGAGTCTGGTGTTAGAGGCCTTACTTCACATCAGCCAGGCATTTCTTTGTGTAATTATTTGAGTCAACCTGACTCTTACATCAGATCCTGAGCACTACAGGAACATGCCTATTTTTCACGACTGGCAGATAGGAGGTACAAAATAACTGGAATTAACGAATGGTAGAAGATAATGCTGCTATGGAAGTTCCTCTCTCTCAAAACAGTGACTACACTAAAAGGAAACTGCCATGTGCTGCTGGCTTGCTGGTAAATGTGACCTTTAGAAGGGGTGAATACATGAGTGGCAATTGGAGTGGTGCTTAACAGGAAACTTCCAAACACAGACTTCCTTTGTGAATTTCCCTCTTGGGAATCAGAACAGATAAAAAGATACTTGGATAAAACTAGAATTCAAATAAATGAAAAGACATTTCTTCCTCTAGAACAAGAGTACTCTATTTTACTTCACATGTCTCATACATTTGAGAACCATCCAGTCAGGGTCCAGTTTAGGCTTTGTGGAGCAGACCATGTGGATGGGGGGGAAAGAAGGAATAATCTCTTACATTTAAAAAAGGCTGCAAACCCCAGCATGTTGTAACCCTATTACTGCTTCAATTTTCCTTCCAAATACCCTTAGAGTAGCTTTGAAAACAACAGAGCCTAGGATAGCTAAACATGAAGTAAACGACAACATTCTAACAGAGCTAAAATCCCATCTCTGTGTAATTATTCCCTGAATGGAATTTTAATTTCACCTTAAGACCCAGGACAAATGGAATTTTCAGTGGCAAAATACACAATTTTTAAAGTAGGATTAAGCCAAAGAAAATTCATTTACCAAACTCCTTAGGGAACTAAAGCACCTACAACTATGCTTACTGGAAAGCTATCTTCTCTAAAGGCTAGGCAATGCCTAGCGCTAATCTAATCAACAATAACCGAGCTAAACTGTGTGTGCCCTAGGGCCTCTGGCTCTCAGCACACCCTCCTCTGAGGTGAGCTGTCAGCACCCTAGATAATTTGAGCTTTCCTCCAGTGCTCTCCTTCTAAAACTTTGGTGCTTACCACTCAAAGGTGCTAATTAGCTCTGTAATTGGATTTCCTGGTTTAACTGCCCTATTGTGTGAGCATCACTTCTGTTGCTCAAAGACAAAGCGGGCTTGTACCTTACTTCCCCCACCTCCATGGGACATGCATACGTGGCAGGTGAGCACCTGCATGCATATCTTTCAGTGATCTCTCTGCCTGACAAAGATGCTGTGCACTGCTGGGCCTAATGCTTAGTGACGGGCCTTTCTAACTAAGTTTGCTACCCATCAACTAAGTAGAAAGCTTTAACTTCTGCTTTCCCTGCTGGATGTTATCAGAGGTGACTTGGTAGTAGAAAATTAGGACTTATATGGATGGCTACCACTTTGTGGTGTCCGTGGAAGCAACAAGGGGAGCAGCCAATAAGATACTCCTACCTCTCCTAGTCAGGGAAGTATTAGTGAAGGCCTGGTGGTCAATCAGAACCTCCAGCTGTATCAAGCAGTAATAATAACATGGACCTGCCTGTGGGTCAGTGGGGACTGACTGGTAAAAATAGAATTCTAGCCCACCTAGTAGTAACAACACAGTGAGTATATTTTTCCTAGTGTCAGAGAAAACAAAGATCTAAATAAGCGAAAACAGAGATGTAAGTAAGTAATGTATATAAGTATCTAAGTAAGTAACGATCCAGCATGTAATACTAAAAGTGCCAACATTTTACTAAAATATTTGTTGTCATGAGAAGTATAACATGTAAATGCATAAGAAAAAATAATGAATAGATATCAGCACTTTGATTAAAGCAATGTTAAAATTAGCTGATAAAATTATCAGCCAT